CAAGGTTGTAACGGTTCCCATGAGGTAGAGAGGGGATCAGCAAACTTCCATTTTCCAAAAAAAAAAAAGGAATTTTATTTTAAAAAGCAGCAACTCTTGTGACCTGGGAGCAGTGCCTGCTTTGATGCTCTTGTCCCTCTCTCCTGTAGAAACCAGCCTGATCTGCACAGCGCATGTTATGGATGGGAGCAGGGCTGCGACCCAGGCTTAGGAGAGAGAAGACTTGAGCAGGATTTGCCACATGTGAGCTATGTAGTGAACGTTTTTGCCCCTTTATCCCCTGTTTCTTGCCCCAAAAGCACTACAGAACCGTATGTCTTTTTGCTGTGTCCCTTGGGCCCAGAGGGATTGTGCAGAGCCGTCGGACACGAGCGCTTCGCTCCGGCTGCTCCGCTCCTCCCGCCAGCAACCCCAAACACTTGGGTTTTTACCCATTTGGCAAAGTGGAGGGTCACCGTCCTCTGGCAGGACCCATCCATCCTATTTATTTTTATTTATTGCTTTTTAAAGACGAAATGTTTGCGCTTTACAATCATCCTCCGCCTGCACAGCGTGGATAAACGCTGCCGGAGCCAGCAGCCCTCCCCAGAACCCTCCCCTGGCCTGAAAATTGGCAGGTTTGGGCTGGCTTTTATAAAAACTCAGTTTTATTTTTGGTAACCCTTGCTCGTTTTTAAACTTCCTGTGGCACAAATTATATATAACTGTACATGTGAATATATACATGTGCACATATATATACTTACATATCTCTCTCACACTGTTTTTAACAAATCAAGGAAGGCCACACTTTCGTATTCTAAGCTGTTTATATCATGTTTAGTAATCACAAGGGGCTTGGACAGCTTGAGCAATGGGTATTTTGTCTACACGGGGCATATTTAGGATGCAAAATTAATGATTCAACTTTGATATGAACCTAGTCTCTGCCCGTGCTGCACATGGGTACCTAAGTGCCTTAGCCGCCTGCTTCGGAGGTCCTAGGGAAAGCAGCATTGTCATCAAAGGAGACAGGGATGCTTAGTGAAGGAGGTAATTATGCTGATTTACTGTAATTAATATCATTTATGCAGAAGGAATAAAATTAAAATAGAAACTCATCTGTAGCTGCAATAAGGGGAGCGGGTTACAATGCAGCACGCGTAGAACTGCCAGGGATTTGCGTATCCTCTCGGCCTGATGTAGGTAGATTCAGTATTTTCCTAAAATTTCTTAAAGAAATCTTAACGTGAAAATGTACAGACTGTCTTTTAAATATGTTTTTAGTGTACAGGTATTTCTCCGTTTCCTTTGCACAAAAACCCCTGTCCTTTCCAACCGAGAGTGGGAGAAGTTCGGTGATGCTAAAACCCTGGGGAGGGAGGTTTAGGAGCAAGAAACTCTTTTTGTAGGCAGGGGTCATGCAGCAAAACAACTTGTGCTTAGCAGCATGACGAGTCTCACTGATGTGGGGCTGCCTGCTCGTTCATACGATGCCTCTTCTACTGCCTTGCTTTCAAAAATGAATTTTTAACACTTTTTTGAAATGCACTTTGTTCCGATGTGCTCCAAAAATGGTTAGCTAATGTGAAATATCCTCCCAGCCTCCGTTTTTTTGTTTTTTGGGGTTTTTTTTTAGTCTCAGCATTTCATTTATTGGGTTTAGGGAGAGATCTTTCAAGGCCCTCGATGGTGGTTTTGCAGGGAACGGGCTCCAGGCCCTGGCACATCCTCCACCCTTGCACCCTGCTCCGGTTGAAGGCCGCGGCCTGATGGAAAGGCCACCAAGCGGCAGAAGGGAGAGGGCTGAGGAAAAGGTGGATGGTTTTGGAGCTCACTTGTTATTCCACCCCCTTGGGATGTGTATTTTTATATATTTTGGTTTTTTTATAATTTTCTTTTTATAAATCCCTTGGGCCGTGTGTTTTCCTTAGTCACTTCAGCATGGCGCAAGCTGCAGAAATGATAAAATCTCAGCCTGTCCTCGGCCTCGCTCGTGCTCCCACCACTTTGCCTGGGCGTTTGTCACCGTGACCGCGCGTCCCTTTACGTGAAGCCAATGGTGACATTAAGCAGCTGGTCAGAAAACCATCACGAAGGCGATACACTCTTTTATTTTACTTTTTATTTTATTTGTAACTAGCATTTGCGAAATCCCGACAGCCACCCTAGGCGCAAAGGAGGAGGTAGATGCTGTTCTTAACTGGAACGGCCCGGCCCCCGTGGCTGGCGTGCTAATAACTATGCATCTTTTCCAAGATTTTCATGCACTTTATGCAGGGAAGGCGACTCTCTAAGGCAGGACCCGCCGTTTGTAGCAAGTGTCTCCCCCAGCCAGAAAGGAGGTTCGCGGAGGAGAGGTTTTTGGTGAGTGTTTAACCCCAGCCTAGAGCTCTTGGTGTTAGGGGCACGGGCAGGGCCCTCCCGTCGCTCCGGTCTTTGCACAAGCAGTTTATTCCAGCAGTGCCTTATCCCGGGCTCAGACGCTAGCGCAGCGCAGGGAGGGTTTATCCCGGGAGCCCTGGGCGAGCAGGAGCAGCACGGGGTGCTCACACTAACCCCCCTGGCCTGGGATCCCCAACAAGTGTCTTGTCCTCCCTCTGTGCTGCATTTTCTCTGCATCTTCCCCCTCACTCCAAACCCACCATTGTGTTTTTCCCCCCTTCAGAATAGTCCAGGTGCCACCACGGCTTGGCACCAAAATACCTCTATATATATATGTTTTTTTTCCTGCTTTTTTTCACCAACACTAATGTCTGCGGGGTCCCAGCAGAGCCTTTTCTCCCTCGTCTCCCTGTGGATTTTGTTTGTAAATGTGGCGGTGTGTATATACGGAGCGGCTCTCCGCACCGTGGCGTTGCGCGGGGATCGGTGTACGGTAAATGAGCTACAAATCCAAAGACACTTTGTAATGAGCTGTAAAGTTTTTAATTGTTTCTGTATAATACTAAATCGCTGTAATATTGTATGATATCTGCAATGCAGCCTGCAGTACCTGAATAAATGTTGTCTTTAGAGCGGGAATAGTCCGGCCTTCGTTAACACTGCGGATCTGAGCCCTTCCCAAGCGCCGCTCCGGCCACGGACAGAGCGGGATGAGCAGCCTAGGAGGGTTATTTACATGCCAGATTATCCGTTTCTCTAATGAAACTAGTGGCACACGGCAAAAGAAATGGTAAGGTTTTTTTATTATTTTTAAGAAAAATGAAAATCCAACCCCCCCCTCCAGCCCTCCTGCAGCAGCCTCAGTGCCCAGCCCAGGCCCCTGGAATACAACAAAAAAAGGAAGACACCAAAAAGAAAAGGTGTTTTCGGAGCCCTGCCCCAAGATCCCGTCCAGGACTCTCGTCCCGAGGAGCAGGAAGGTTCTGGGCATAAAAGTAACCGGAAAAGAGGTAATTTTGCACCTAAAGAAGCCCTGGGTGAAGCGGCCGAGGGCCCACACAAGTGCGTGGTGGAGCCGCTGTCCTTGAATATCACTTCCAAAAGGCCACAGGGTTTAGTCTTGGTTTTATTCCCTGTCCCGTTTGTCAACGTTATTCCCTGAAATACTGGGAGGGAAGAGTGGGAGAGCTGGGGGGGGGGCTTTTTCTTTTTTTTTTTCTTTTATTTTTAAGGCAACAAGCAGCGTGACGCTTCCCCAATCCCTGCTGAAAATCATTTTGCAAAGGCTGCTTATTTATTTATTTTAATTAGTGGCATCTTGCAATCAGTGCAGGAAAAAAAAATTCTGTGACTCTGTGAAAAAAACAGCCTTTCTTGTCTAATGTATTTGTTTTCTAAAAGCCCCTTGGCTGTTCTTGTTTTGGTTCTCACCGAAGCAGCCCGGGTTCTGCTCTGGCAGATCTGGCCCCCGGGGCCACATTTGGGGCTGCCCTTGAATGCCTGCGGCCCAGTGTCCGTGGGGCTCCCCATGGGCTCTGCTCCAGCCTCGGGGCCTTCTGGGCCTCCGAGCGAGCAAGGAGAGGTGGGAAGGAGCCCAGGACCAAGGTGGAGGCTGCAACGATGTCCCAGGCAGCAGCACCAGCGCTAGAGGGGACAGGGAGGCCAATGGCCCCTGTTGCCAGGAGCTGGGTGACACCTGGGGAAGGGTCTCCTTTTTAGCAGAAAATCCTCCAAAAAGGAGGCCAGGCCTCCAACCCCAAGCAAGGGGTCCCACAGCCACCAGCCACCCCCAGCCTCTCCCCCTGAACAGCTGCTCATCCCAACCCTTTATTTCTCTATATAAAGTCTTCAAAAATCTACAAAAACCTTCACAGAACATCGTAAAGCTGCGGTTTGGGTCAGGTTTACCCAGGCAGTGCTTCCCCCAAAGGACTCCAGCAGCGAGGCAGCGGTGTTGAGTTATACATTTTTATTTTCTAATAGGTACAATACTAAAATAAACACAAATTAAAAAAAAGTCTTCTTAAACCAAAACTGTACAAAAAAGCCGTTATACTACATTTTTAATTACAGAACAGTCTACTGTCCAAAAGGCACTAATCCAGAATAGGAGATACAAGGATACAGGACTCATTGGGACTAGTTTAATCAATACAATAGAGCACTTGTTTCTCTGTCCAGT